TCTCCCTGTATCCTTTGTGTGAGAACGGCTCCTAATCCATGTTCGCTGTCGTCGGTCTGCAATGAGAATTTTTCCTGAAAGTCGGGACAGACGAGGACTGGGGCTTCCGATAATCGGATCTTCAACTCCTCAAAGGCTTGTTCCTGCTCTTCCAACCATTTCCATTTCCAATCCTTTCTTAATAGCGCGGTCATGGGCTCCACTATCCCTGAAAAGTTTGGAACCAACCGGCGGTACCAAGAAGCGATGCCCAGGCTCCTCCGGAGTTCCTTTACGCAGGTTGGGGGCTTAAGGTTGCGAACGGCGGCGATCTTGTCAGGGTCCGTATGTATGCCATTCCCGCTGATGCCATGTCCTAGGTATTTTAGACTACGTCTGAAGAAGCTAAATTTGGCCTGGTTTAGCCGAGGTTGCTTGTGATCGAAGGTTGCGGGAGCGGAGTGAAGACCAAAGGGCATCACTTTCCAGTGAAACAATCCTCGACTTGGAACTGTGAATGCGGTGCATTCGAGCCTGGCGGGAGCAACTGAGATTTGTCAATAGCCGCTTTTCAAGTCCAGGGTAGATATATACTTTGCATCTTTAAGTTTTTCCAGAATGTGCTGGGTCCGAGAAAGTAGATACGCGTCGGAGACTGATAATGCGTTCAATTGTCGAAAGTCGACGCACATCCTGATATCTCCGGTCTTCTTACCTACAAGCACAATGGGTGCACTATGAGGTCTCTTTGAAGGTTCGATTTGGCTATCCCTGAGCAATTCGTCGACCTGTTTGTTAATGATGGCCTGAATCGCTGGATTTTTAGGATAATATCTTTGTTTTATTGGTTTGTCATCTCGCATTATAATTTAATGTTCCGCGATGTTGGATAATCCGGTAAGACCATCGACCTTCTGTAATTCTTGTTGTAAAAAGGCTGCTGTCATGGGATACATTGGTTCGTGGTCTTCAGGTTCGAGCGTAAGGTCCAAGGGGTTCAATACCTGTTGTATACTCACTGTGACCAATGTTGCGCCTTGTGCTTGTTGCCATCTGCTGGTCGTCGGCTGCTGGTAACTGTTGTCTGTGTCTTTCTCGAATCTAACGCGTTTCTCGGGTCGATGTTTCCCATCTGGATTGATATCTGGCTTGGGTCGGCGCCTCATCGGAATTCCGGAAGTAACTTGAAGAACCAGTCTCGTATCTCTCGTTCGGGGAGTCGTCTCTCGCAAGCTTCCACTACTTTGTCATCATTGATCCCGGAAGAGCGGCCACGTACTCCTCGCTTGGTACGTGGTACGTCGATGTGGTGCCTATGCCTTGAATCCCGCTGTACTGGCTGTGTCTAAATTTCAGGCGTAAGGAGATTCCTCCACAGTTCATGGTCGCATTAATTCTACATAGAAAATCCATTCCAAAGAGAAAGTTATCGAGTACATCCCCCATCACTAGTACCGGCATTGTTACAAGTTGCGTTCCTAATCGTATCTCTGCCATCAGCGCCAGAGTCAACTCTCGGAGGGAACCATCCGCCAGTCTGAACGTTGTTCGTACCATGGTAATACTTTGTTCATTGTCCAGCTCTAGGGCTTTTTGCTCACTCACGAAGCTCCGTGTAGCGCCTGTGTCAAGTGTGGCTAGCAGGATCTCTCCTTCTACGGTCACTTGCGCCCGAATCCGTCCTTTCTCCAGCCGAAGGATGTCCTTTACTGTCTCGGGGCTGGCGTGTCGTCCTTCGTACGGTCCTCGGCCGAACAAAGAGGCTGTCCGTTTCCCGACGAATTCTTGCGACAGCACGCAATTGTCCGTACGCGGACGCGTACGCGGTCAGCACGCAGTATAGGACTTGTGGTTGTTTGCAATCCCTGGAGAAGTGTCCGGATCCGCCACAGTTCCTACAGGCCTGCTGTACGTCGATTGCAGTGTCAGGTTCTTCAGTGATGGTTCCATGTCTAGCGTCTGTCTTAGATGGGTCTACAGACCAACCTCTTGGAGATGGCTGGTCCTGTCGGAGATCCTGGGTCCTTGTGGCCGTGTCCTAGAGTGTCCAGTGCGTCGGTGCCTGGTGCCTGGCTTGCGTATCCTGGAAGTTTCAATGGTCATTTATTCCGTATTACTTCGTAGTGGACGACTAACTGGGTCAGTTCCAAGACCGTACTGAAGTCTTTGCGCCTTGTTAATAGCTGGTATTTCGGAAGCATGTTGTCATGTTGTTGGCTGCTCTCTCCTGTACGTTCTCCAAGAAACTAAGTGGGTCACCCGAGCCGTTGAACACGATTCTCCATCGAACCATCTTATCCGCAATCGCGGCGTTGAAATGTTCCTCACTTCGGGTGGGTGCCTTCGCTGTTATGACCGGGTTCTTCTGGAGCAGTCTCTCAGGAGGCGCAGCGGATACCGACGCAACGGGTCTACATAGGGAAGATGTAGCGTACATGGTGGTTGGGTCGATTGGCACGGGAAGGGTATTTGTTGGGTAGGAGGACGGGAAGATAGAAGCTTGATATCAGGAGTCCCGGAAACTCCGTACTGGGATTTTAGTTCCGCCAACCGAGCGCAGTTGTGGAGTTGAGTCAGTACAAAAATATATTTGAGACTAACCGCACGTGTATTCATTTCCACCGCTATTGTAACCCCCGCTATTTTGTCGTCCCCGCTTTATCTATAACCCGCTGTACAAATAACCTATAAATCATCAATATTAGATATAAATAAAATCAAAATACATAAAAGATTAATACAGTCCACTCGTTCGCAACCAAATATGTATGATCGTATTTAAAAGCGAAAATATTGTTCATTTACATATAAATTTCGACTTTATGCTAAAAAAAATCCATTTCTGTACCATAAAGGATTGGTGAAAATCAGTAAGTTTAGCAAGGGTTGATATAAATAGTTTACTTTTGCGCAAAAGCTTCTGCAAGTTTTTTGCTGCTAATAATTGTTTAGTGACGATATTAATGGTATCAATATATATGTACATATGCAATAAATATCACCGTACTCAAAAAAAATTTAAGGGGTATATTAGATTTGTGGTGAAAGTGGATGTGTGTAACGCAGAGAAGGAAAAGTTTCCGACCCCATAAATTATATATATTCTTGATCAGCATCAATAGCCGAGTCGATAGTGCCAAATCTATCTGTCCTTCCGTCCGTCTTGTTTGTCGCCTGGATCTCAGAGACTATAAGAGCTGGAGCAACCAAATTTTGTTTCCAGACTCATGTGGTATCACACTTCTACATGTATATTTCGCCCCGCCCCCTTTCGCAACCACAAAGAACGAAAATCTGTGGCAGGCACAATTTTAAAGCTACGATAAATCTGAAAGCGCATTATCGTAGAGAATGATCATATCTACCAGATTGCCGAATCTGAATCAGATCGGATCATAATTATAGCCAGAATGAAGAAATTAATTTTCAGCTGCTTTCCCTGCCTCCTTCGCTCGCACACACTGCCTCGTTATGTACGCGAGCGCCCTCTAGCGGAGGAGATGTACAATCTAAATGGTACATCTATAATCTACATGTTGGATGTATCTATATATAGTAGATGTAGAAAACCGATGTAGCAAAAAAATACAATATGTAAAATTTGTTTAAATTCTTAAATTTAAAAAAATCGTAAGCTCAAAAATGCATATACTAACCGAGTAGAGTATAAGTAGAGTCGCGTCCCCAGAGGCGATTCACACGTTCCTTCTCGTTTTATATGATATCAAAGTGTAATAATAATCAAAAAAGTTAAACTCTATTAAGAGTCTTTCCATCAATCCATTTTTTTTTATTGAACAATGTTACTAATAAATACAGATACAAATAGATACCATTAGAACCACAATAAATGCAATAGTTTACTTTTTATTTTACGTGAAAGATGAAGTATGTGAATAAAAATTGAGCAAATGCTTCTCACTGAAAAATGATAAACTTTGAATGCTTATATCTCCGAAACTAATAACCCGATTTTCTAAAAGCTTCTATTTTCGGAAACCTTGGAAATTTCTATCAGATTCTTGTGCTTAAATTATCCAAAGCTCTCACTCAGAAAATGTCTTTTGCCACCAATTTTCTTTCGAGTCCCCACTGTGCGTTCTAGCTCGTTGGGATGCGGTTGCATTGTTGAAAGGGGGGATGGGGCTAGCAACTGAAAATTAATGACTTCATTCTGGCTATAATATTAAACCAATATGAGATCTAGGCGCTCAACAAGACTGACCGACGGAGCGACGGACAGACGGACATGGCTATATCACCTCGGCTATTGATGATGATCAAGAATTTATATACTTCATGGGGTCGGAAACGTTTCCTTATGTAAACATTAAAACTCTTCGAGTACCGGGTATAAAAAATGTATCACAATAAATAGTTATCAGAGCAATGTGCCACAAAAATGCTTAAAGCGGATTTAGTAAAAATGAAAGGAGCTCGGTTGCAACAAATGCGAATAATAGTAAGTGCTACTGCACAGAAAGTTTGAGAAAGGGTAAGAGTGAGAGAACAGCAAGAGCTACGACAAGGGAGCGGGCCAAATGCAATGTAAGGGCGTACTTACGAAAAGCAACAACAGAAACACACAACTAGACAACGCACAAAATAAATAAATGAATAATATTTTTCCCAATTTAAAGGCACCTATGGTAAATTATAGATTTTATGATTTTAGGTTAATTAAGTTAATTTCGGTATAGATTCATCAGTTTTTTACGTGTTTTTATTATTCAGCATTCAATCTTGAGACTCATTATGCTGCATTTTACTATCTTACGGGGAACAATCCAAATGCGAGTATGTTCGCGTTGATTATTTTTTAAGCTATTCAAAACAATTTGTATGGCCTTTATCAATTCTGCAGACGAGTACTGCTCAATGGTCGTAAAACTCTTAAGCTTCTCAGCATCAATGAAATCGGCGCATCTTTTGCCTACTTACTATTATTCAGTTTGAGCTCCAAATCAAAGAAAAATGGGAATTATTTCACTGTGTAATTATATTTTTCCTTACTATTTCAGAAATGCGTGAACTTGTTCCTCCAATTATGAATGAAAAAACTACTAAGCTGATGATCAGAGCAGGAGATCCATTAGTAGTTGCATGTGTGGCATATGCAAATCCAAAACCTACCTACAGGTAAGATGTATTTCAAAGTTAAAACATCCTATCAACAAGAGGAAGACCATTTTTCGTGCGAGGTTGCGTCAGAAAAATCGATCTAGAAGTCGAACAACTCAAAAGAGAAAAACGCGCTTGAAGACTTAGGTACGGAATATGCAAAGAGCATGTATTCAAAAAATCACTTGAAAATTTAGGGGTATAATAATAATTTAAAAACAACCAAAGAAGACGATGTAATAAATACCGAAAACAGAATCATACGTTACACAGTTTACTTGTCAATCTAGCTGAAAGATGCAGTAAATTCCCCATAATTTGGTTCAGCAAAACACAGGTTTATAACGAAATCAATGCACACATTTTCGCACCACTCGAGTCACTCTCCCCGCGCATTTATCAACCAGATTTCCTGTCAGAGAAGACCGATCATTGTTTTCGTGACCATTTCCTAAAGGGTGCGTGCAACAGTCTTCCTCCTACCCGAATAAGTGAAAATCTTTACCCTGCTTTTTCATATTTTTGTACTCCTTAAAACAATATTGCTTGATAACTTCCATTAATTTGAATAACGAGATCTGCAACTCCCTCGTTGTCAGCTCATTGATCGTTCTCGGGACTTTCATGGGTTTAAAAATCTGTAGATGTATCCAAGAATCCTGATGGTCTTGGGAAACGATGATATGCGAGTTAAAAGTTCAAACGGGGTCGATTTTTCAACGGTTAAGCAACTTGATCAGCTTTTTTAAGCTCTGACCTTTCCAGTTCGATGGGTATCGTAAAATGCACATTTTCTGGCCACCCTGACTTATCTCCGTATAAGAATTTCGGTCCATCGAACCAAATTAATTCGATAAGATACAATGTCTGCAGATATTACACTGCGACGGCACATGACGCCATGCAACCTCGCCTGATAGCTCTTGAATAGTTGCCACCCTATTTGAAACAGTAATCGTCAATAGACGTTACCCTAATCGTCAATAGACGTTACCCTTTCCCATCCACTGGCAAAAGTATACCTTGGAATGGTCACAGCTTGAAGATTTAGCAAATTCTTCTTCAAGCCTTCCCAACCTGACTGCAATGAAATCGGAATGAATTTGAAGTTGCCAAAATATTTTTAGGATTATCTTAGACGTTTTTCCAATGGGGCACAGCAATCCCATAGGATCAAATAGTCGCGTACTGACTGAAAGAATTTTGCGCTTAGTGGGAGTCAATTCCGTAAAACTCTCATTTAAATGAAAGCGAAATGTGTCTGCATTTGGAATCCACCGCATACCTAAGGCTTTGGTCAAATCGGCATCGTTGAAAATTAGGGATTTTTTCATATCAATCCCTTTGACTAGTTGTGGATGGCTTGAAAACCACTTAGACAGCTGCAAACCGCCGTAATTGAGAATTTCTGACACTTGATTACACATGACATTCAACGTGTCAATATTTTCGGCTCCAGTAAGCATATCGTCCACTTAAAAGTCGTTGCAAATTATGTCGGAACCAATCTTATGTGTGTCACTATAACGAACTCCAATTTCTTGCAAGCAACGAATGGCAAGATATGGAGCTGAAGATGTTCCTTAGGTTACCGTATTGAAACGAAAAACTTGTAGCTCGTCAGATGGTTTCTCTCTCCATATTATGAGTTGAAAGTTGCAATCGTCTTCAACCATACTCACTTGCCTATATTCTTTAGGCATCTCTGGAGCAGTATCCAACTCCCAAATATAATAAAACCCCCGTTGGATTTGACCAAATCGATCGCGAACGTTTACAACGTCCGTGGTCGATCTTCGATGTAACTTGTTCAACTTGAGCAGAATGACACGACGGTTGCTCGATAGAAGAACATTGCCCTTGCTGGTCACGCACTATTATATCGTCATGTGGTTGATTCGAGACTGGATACCGATGGAGTAGAGTATGATGCGCATTTGAGCACACTCTACGCTTGGCTGATGTGCACTTGAATACTCTTTGTCTCGTTTTTAAACAGTTGATCCATAATTTTTAGGATTTGGCAAAGTTAAGCCGATCTAATGCTGGCATTCCACTAAATCCCTGGCAATTACCCATACAATAATTCGAACTGCAAAACAAACATTTTGGATCACTTGCATTATTGACCTTCGAGCAGGCATATGAAGTTTTTGTATTACTCCTGCTTCCAGATGGCATTTCACTAAAAATTTTACTCTTCACCCTCGACGCTTCTTCGACTGACACATGTTGATACCGCCGGTTCAGTACATTTGCGCAATCGTACCATTTCGGTAGTTCATCATAATTTAACTGTTCTTCATACTTTGACTTAGGGGCTTAAAAATTTTTAACGACTTAGGTTTTTTTTATGGTGTAGTTTTTTTTTAAGAATTTTTTTAAATCTGTTATTATACCCGTACTCAAAAAAGAGTAAAGGGGTATATTAGATTTGTGGTAAAAGTGGATGTGTGTAACGCAGAGAAGGAAACGTTTCCGATCCCATAAAGTATATATATTCTTGATCAGCATCAATAGCCGAGTCGATATAGCCATGTCTGTCTGTCCGTCCGTCCGTCCGTCTTGTTGAGCGCCTGGATCTCAGAGACTATAAGAGTTAGGGTATCCAAATTTGGTTTCCAGACTCATGTTATATCACACTGCTACAAGTGTGGAAAACGACTTGCGTTCATTCATGAGGCAGACGAGGAGTGGCTTCAGACAGCTGGTCGTGGGCTTTAAAGAGCAATATGATCGGCTCTTGGCCATGGACATTCAGTTCAGTAGTTTACAGATGATGGCAGATTCTCCGAGGCGCAAGAAGTCTACTCCGCGGGACTTGCAAGTGCCGGCTGCTTTACATCCGCCGGCATCCGAAAAACTTACTCCGACCGCTCCCTTAGTGCAGCAGTTGATTACGTTTGCTACTCCAAGGGTAACGATCGCTGCTGGTAATGCAGATTCGGCAGCCGAATGCGTCATTTCGGAGAGTATGCAGTTAGAAATGTCTGTAGCGTCCGTGTCCGTCGAGTCCGCACCCAACTCCGTAACTATCCCATCAGTTTCGCTTCCACCAGCTAATAGACGTCCAGGACCACCGGATACTGCCATCATAGGTACTAAGCCTTTGCTAAAGCCACTGGTGGGAGTCCCACCAAAGCGACAAGTTTTTGTCTCGCGGCTAGCCCCTGACCTCACATCCAATGATGTGACCGCTTTTATACAAAGCAAAATAAAAGCCGTCGGCTAAAAGGTGGAAAAATTTAACTTTTCTTACGACAGGGAGATATCTTCCTTTAAGATAAGCGTCTCCCCAACTCAATTTTAAACCATTTGTTCCGCCAAGTTTTGGCCGGAGCATATGGTGGTTAAAGAGTTTAAGGCTAAGAAAAAGAATAGGCCCCTCATTACTCATCCTAGACCAGTGCTCCATCTCCATCCTCATCTCGCTCTTGTAGTTACCTACCAGAATGTAGAGGATTGCGTAGTAAGCTCATCACTCTTTTCCTTGAGAGTCTCGCATTCTCGTCCCACGTTATTGTGTTTACCGAGACCTGGTTAAAGCCGAACATCCTTAGTTCCGAGGTTTTGGTAGGTCGGTACACAATTTTTAGAAATGACCGCTCGTCTCGACGTGGAGGTGGGGTCTTCATTGCAGTGGACTCAAACTCACGTCGGAACATTTCATGGTCCAGGTTCAACAAGACCTGTGCGTAAAACTTATTCTTCCAAGCTTTTCCATTTTCATTACTTGCTCGTATATTCCACCTTCCTCGGATATCTTTATATACGAGCATCACCTGTCCGCCTTAAAAACTGTTTCTTCCTCGATATCAGAAAAAGACCATATGCTAGTTCTTGGTGATTTCAATTTGCCAGGTACTGATTGGTCTTCGGTAAACGAGTCTAATAATCTTGTGCTCATGTCACGACATGACTTTATCGACGGCTCGGTAGACCTATCCCTGTCTCAAGTCAAACATGTGAAAAATTCCTTGGGTCGATTGCTTGATCTGCGCTTTGTCTCAGATCCGACCATAGCGTTGCTAACCCGAGCCCTTCCGCTCACTATACCTGAAGACTCCTACCATCCTACATTCGAATTGTTGGTCGATATCGGGTCGATTACCTATCTCGATGCAGGATACGATTTTCACAGGACCCTAAACAGTTTTACAGCTTCGTAAATAGTACGCGTAGAACGTCCGCACATCCATCCTCGCTAACATTTCTCAATATGCCAGCAAGCAATGATCAGGCAATTGCCGATTTTTTTGCCAATATTTTCCAAACAACCTATTCTCATGAAAGCTCCTCTGGTCAGCCGTATCCATACAGTTTACTAAGGTCGGACGGCATTTTCAGTCCCTTATTAAATGAAAGCTCACTGCTTCACGATCTTCGATTAGTTAAGCCGGTGATTTCACCAGGTCCTGACGAAGTTCCCGGCTGTGTACTCAGGTACTGTGCCGACGCCCTGCTTAAACCATTCACCCTATCCATTAACTCTTCATGCTTCCCCCTCATCTGGAAGGAATCTTTTCTTATTCCGCTCCATAAGTAAAGGTAGCAAGTCTGATGCAAATAAGTATAGAGGTATAGCTAAGTTATTCGCTATTCCTAAAATGTTTGAAAAAATGTTAACTCTGCATTTGCAACATCTCTGCAAATCACTTATATCTCCGTCTCAGCACGGATTTATAAGGCGACGATCAACAACCACAAATCTATTAGAGTTTACCTATTTTACCATTAAAGGCAACTTGATCAGCTATTTTAAGCTCTGACCTTTCCAGTTCGATGGGTATCGAAAAATTCACATTTTCTGGCCACCCTGACTTATCTCCGTATAAGAATTTCGGTCCATCGAACCAAATTAATTCGATAAGTTCACTTACATCGCAACCACGAGATGCAATGTCTGCAGGATTACACTGCGACGGCACATGACGCCATGCTACCTCGCCTGATAGCTCTTGAATAGTTGCCACCCTATTTGAAACAGTAATCGTCAATAGACGTTACCCTTTTCGATT